AAAAACATGCGCAAAAGTGCATCCGCAACAACATTCTTAAAAACACGAACTACAATACTATGACTTTAATACGCATCAACAGACAACAGCAAAAACACTAGATAAAAAAGATACAATCTAGTGTAGCAATAATACTCGACGTTTACGTTTTCGTGGCTTTTTGTTTGGATTAATTTATATTTCTGTTTTAATTGGTGGATTTGGTATCTTTTAGGTACAAATCGAAAATTAGGTGTCCATGAAGCAAGAATAATCAAAGGGTAAGAAAAGAGTTGCAATTAAGAAAATAAAATCAAATTAGAAGAGAGAATCCCTCAACATCTTTGGTAGTGTCCACGAAGTCGAGCATAACTCTCTCATCCGGACTCCAAATCGACAAGTTCAGGTGGCATTAGAAAGCTATTTCAGTGGGCTACAATTCCCGTCTAACGTCAAAATTCCAAATTCGGACTCGAACATGGTCAAAATTGGATAACAAAACCGATCATGAAAATACGTACTGCAATTCAAGGACGTGAATGCGCATCAAGAAACGTGCAAAAAAACACTCGCTAGAAAAGATACGCACATGAGCAAAAGTTCAAAAGCATGCACAAAAGTACTCACGCTCCCTCAAATGGACATGCACAAAAACGTACATGTAAAAAAACATGCGCAAAAGTGCATCCGCAACAACATTCTTGAAAACACGAACTACAATACTTAGACTTTAATAGGCATCAACAGATAACAACAAAAACACTAGATAAAAAAGATACAATGGAGTGTAGCAATAATACTCGACGTTTACGTTTACGTGGATTTTTGTTTGGATTAGTTTATATTTCTGTTTTTATTGGTGGATTTGGTATCTTTTAGGTACAAATCGAAAATTAGGTGTCTAGGAAGCAAAAATGATCAAAGGGTAAGAAAAGAGATGCAATTAAGAAAATAAAATCAAATTAGAAGAGAGAATCCCTCAACATCTTTGGTAGTGTCCACGAAGTCGAGCATAACTCTCTCATCCGGACTCCAAATCGACTGGTTCTGGTGGCATTAGAAAGCTATTTCAGTGGGCTACAATTCCCGTCTAACGTCAAAATTCCAAATTCGGACTCGAACATGGTCAAAATCGGATAACAAAAGCGATCATGAAAATACGTACTACAATTCAAGAACGTGAATGCGCAACAAGAAACGTGCACAAAAACACTCTCTAGAAAAGATACGCACATGAGTAAAAGTTCAAAAGCATGCACAAAAGTACTCACGCAAAAGTGCATTCGCAAAAAGGATCATGAAAACACAAACTACAACCCTAGGACATTAATACAAATCAACAAACATGCACAAACACGCTCCCTCAAATGGACATGCACAAAAACGTACATGTAAAAAAACATGCGCAAAAGTGCATCCGCAACAACATTCTTAAAAACACGAACTACAATACTATGACTTTAATACGCAGCAACAGACAACAACAAAAACACTAGATAAAAAAGATACAATCGAGTGTAGCAATAATACTCGACCTTTACGTTTTCGTGGCTTTTTGTTTGGATTAATTTATATTTCTGTTTTTATTGGTGGATTTGGTATCTTTTAGGTACAAATCGAAAATTAGGTGTCCATGAAGCAAAAATAATCAAAGGGTAAGAAAAAAGTTGCAATTAAGAAAATAAAATCAAATTAGAAGAGAGAATCCCTCAACATATTTGGTAGTGTCCACGAAGTCGAGCATAACTCTCTCATCCGGACTCCAAATCAACTGGTTCCGGTGGCATTAGAAAGCTATTTCAGTGGGCTACGATTCCCGTATAACGTCAAAATTCCAAATTCGGACTCGAACATGGTCGAAATTGGATAACAAAAGCGATCATGAAAATACGTACTACAATTCAAGGACGTGAATGCGCATCAAGAAACGTGCACAAAAACACTCGCTAGAAAAGATACGCACATGAGTAAAAGTTCAAAAGCATGCACAAAAGTACTCACGCAAAAGTGCATTCGCAAAAAGGATCATGAAAACACAAACTACAACCCTAGGACATTAATACAAATCTACAAACATGCACAAACACGCTCCCTCAAATGGACATGCACAAAAACGTACATGTAAAAAAACATGCGCAAAAGTGCATCCGCAACAACATTCTTTAAAACACGAACTACAATACTTAGACTTTAATACGCATCAACAGACAACAGCAAAAACACTAGATAAAGTATATATAATGGAGTGTAGCAATAATACTCGACGTTTACGTTTACGTGGATTTTTGTTTGGATTAATTTATATTTCTGTTCTTATAGGTGGATTTGGTATCTTTTAGGTACAAATCGAAAATTAGGTGTCCATGAAGCAAAAATGATCAAAGGGTAAGAAAACAGTTGCAACTAAGAAAATAAAATCAAATTAGAAGGGTGAATCCCTCAACATCTTTGGTAGTGTCCACGAAGTCAAGCATAACTCTCTCATCCGGACTCCAAATCGACTGGTTCCGGTGGCATTAGAAAGCTATTTTAGTGGGCTACAATTCCCGTCTAACGTCAAAATTCTAAATTCGGACTCGAACATGCACTACTAGAATACATATTTTTTATAGCATATTATAATAGCGTGTTTTAACTAGGTGCTATTGTTTTGTTTAAAAAATTATCGGCAATCCTATTAACAAAATAAAACGCTATAATATAATAACGTGTTAAAACTTTTAGGGGGCAAAAATATGTATTCTCCCGCAATCCTAAAAAGAATAGGTTTTAAAACATTAAATAAAAAGTTTTAATTTGACTTTTCACTTACCCATCGTTCTCTTCATCCCGTCATCTCCTCTACAGCTTTTTTTTTAACCCAATTTTACCATTCAACAAACCTAATTCTAAATTGTCACCGAACTTGTAAAATCAATTCACCAAGCAAAAAATTCTTCAAGAGGATACGCTATCAGAGAAAAACGAGACCGTGCTGCGATTGTATCTCACCGATAGGGGACGAATATCATACAAGTAATTATACGGTTCTCTCTTCTATTTTTGTATTTCTATTTCAATTCCTCAAAATCAGGCTACCCATGCTTCAATTTCTATGGATTTTTGTTTATATAGCTATGATTCTTGCATTATGCCCAGATTTGGGAAATATCGTTGGATTTTTTTGTAAGTTTTTGATTCGTTCGCCCATGCTTAGGAAAGGGGCAGACTTTAAATGATTTGAATTGTGTTTTTAAATTTCTTGTGATTCATGCATGAATTTGGTGTTTTGAGAATTAAGTAGTTTTATTTCAATTCTTCAAAATCAGGCTACACATACTTCAATTTCTATGGATTTTTATTTTATTTATTTTTTTATTTTATGTTTCTGACTCTTGCATATGCCCAGACTTGGAAAATAGCATAGGAATTTTTTTGTAACTTTGTGATTCTTTTGCCAAGGCTTAGGAGATGGGCTGACTTTAAATGCTTTGCATTGAGTTTTTAATTTTTTTCTGATTCGTGCATTATGCACAAATTGGAATATTGAGAATTTGGTGTGTTGAAAATTGATTTTATATAAATTACATAGAGGTTTCAATTTGGGAAAGAAATATGAACCAAAAGGATTTTTTCGGAAAAAATAAAATGAATGATTAACCATATTTAACTACAGTTTTAAAATTTCTTTGAAACTAATGTCAAAGCCTACTTAGCTATTACTTGTTTTTTTTTTCAAATTTTTTTTCTTTAATTTCTTAATTCTCTATGTAGGTGCATTTTATAACTGCTAGACGGTTTGTTCAGTGATCAAATTTTAGTTTACAGCATGTTATTTCGAATAATGTATTTTGCATACGCTCTGTGAGATATGGAATTATCCGATAAATAATATCGATTATTATAGTTTGATTTGACCTCTGAAGAACATTCTATTCATAGAATAAAACAATATATGACTGCTCTGGCAATAACTGTTTGACAGTTCTTGAAGATTTGGTGTTCAAGCAATATACAGAAATCTAGAGTCACTCGTAGTAATCACTATTTGACGTTTTTTAAATATGTATTTTATTTAAAGGAACATTGTTGTTTATCTAGAAATTCATTGAGTTATAAGTTACGTGGATTGAATTTGCATAGTAACCAATTAACTGGTGTTCTAATTGCTAGCTGAAAAATCTTTATGTGACGTAGTATGAAGTCTCATTTTGTATGTTGCTTAAAGTGTGGTTATTATGTTGGTTCAGTTTATTATGTATTTATTATGTTGGTTCAGTTTATTATGTATTTATTATGTTGGTTATGTATGTGTTTGAAATTTACACAGTGATTAATTAAGGATTTTTGATAATGATATAGGATTTAATCTGATAGTGGAAACTTTATCAAATCAAGGCTGCTAAAACCAGATTGGGAGCTTGCAACTCAGGTACATATGTGTCATGTGTATCTTTTATTTCATATTTAGATGATTATGATAGCTAACAAATCGTATATGTATTATTTATTTTTGTAAAAATCCTAATTTCATTTAAATAAATTTTCTTCAATCCATCATTGATCAGTGAAGGGAATCTGATCTGGAAACATTTACTTGGAATCGTTGGTGATAGCAAGGCCACTTTCTTGAACGGTTAGCACCTATTTCACCTCTGTAATTGGTTATTTATATACAAATTTGTTGCAAATGGTTTTTTTTTTTTTTTTTTTTTTTGGATCACTGTCGATGCTATTTGATATTGGTTTTGGTTTTAGCTTAGTTTTTGTTACGGTAATCTGCTATTTCGTTGCTTACGTTGATAATTGTATATTTTATTTTTTAATTTTATTTGATTTTCTTAAATACTCACTAGTAGTTTTTTATGCTGGTTCAGTTTCTGGATCTGGTCAAATTGTTGCTGAAGGACGATGGTCCTCAAATGATCCAAGTCAAGTTGTTCATTTTGTTCCATTGGGTCCTAATGCTACGAGAGTTTGGGTAGAAACAGCAAAAGTCCCAGCCGCGTCTCTCTGGAGATCTACTTCTGAGATGGAGTCTATTGAAGATGCCATAGGAACTACAGTAGCATGGCCAACAGATAAAGTGGTTATATTGTAGAGTACCGGTAAGCGATTAGACTCTCTTTATTCTAAGTTTAATTTTTTTCTCCAATCACGTATTGTACTTAATTTGATATTGTCATCGAAATTGTAATTTATGTATTGCAAATCGATTGATTCACTTGATTTAGGTCAATGTTCTGTATCTCTTTCTTTGTAGTACTTTACGAGTACAATATATTTAATTTTTTTTATTTACTTTTACAGGAAATGGAAGGAGAAAATGGAGAAAAGTAAACATGCATGGGCAGTCACTAGAAACCTTTTTGGGAGCTGAATGTTAGAGTAAAATATTTTTTTATTGTTTATTTTTTAAATAGCGTAGTAGGTTGTTCTCGGATGTTAAAGTTATCAGGATACTTCATTAAACATAATAAGTACTTTGTTCTTTTAGTAATTAAAATTTATGAGTCATTACTCATATTGCACCATAATATCCGATGTGTATTTAGTATTGTGATTTATCGTGTTGTTATTGCAGCAAATGCAATGGTGATAGTAATAACTAATTACATTAAAGAGATGCTACAATAGTGAATAATAAAGGGATATATAATGCTATAAAAGATTGAACCATATCACCTAATTGAAAACCACAACTAAAAGAAAATGCTATAAAAGATTGAACCATATCATATAATAGCGTTTACAATGTGATTTTCTGGAGTTTTACCATAGCACACTATAGTTGTCATAATATAGTTTATTATAGCACTTCATATGCGCAATTACAAAATGTACAATAGCGCCATATTTTTGCGGTTATAGTATTTTTAATAGCATTACTTAGTCGTTATTAAAACAATTACAATAGCGCCGGTTTGGTGCTATATTAGAGTCTATTATGTCGCATTACAAACGCTATTATAGAGGTTCAAATAGCGTTGACGGTTCGCTGTTGTAGTGGTTTTTACCATAGCGATAGGAAAACGCTATGACATCTCCGGTATCTATTATAGCTCCGGCAGAAATAGCGTTTTCAAAAACGCTATCATAGGCTACAATAGCGTTTTGCAAACGCTATCGATGACAGTCTGTGGTGTAGTGATGGTCAAAATCGGATAACAAAAGCGATCATGAAAATACGTACTACAATTCAAGGACGTGAATGCGCATCAAGAAACGTGCACAAAAACACTCGCTAGAAAAGATACGCACATGAGTAAAAGTTCAAAAGCATGCACAAAAGTACTCACGCAAAAGTGCGTTCGCAAAAAGGATCATGAAAACACAAACTACAATCCTAGGACATTAATACAAATCAACAAACATGCACAAACACGCTCCCTCAAATGGACATGCACAAAAACGTACATGTAAAAAAACATGCGCAAAAGTGCATCCGCAACAACATTCTTAAAAACACGAACTACAATACTATGACTTTAATACGCAGCAACAGACAACAACAAAAACACTAGATAAAAAAGATACAATCGAGTGTAGCAATAATACTCGACCTTTACGTTTTCGCTGCTTTTTGTTTGGATTAATTTATATTTCTGTTTTTATTGGTGGATTTGGTATCTTTTAGGTACAAATCGAAAATTAGGTGTCCATGAAGCACAAATAATCAAAGGGTAAGAAAAGAGTTGCAATTAAGAAAATAAAATCAAATTAGAAGGGTGAATCCCTCAACATCTTTGGTAGTGTCCACGAAGTCGAGCATAACTCTCTCATCCGGACTCCAAATCGACTGGTTCCGGTGGCAATAGAAAGCTATTTCAGTGGTCTACAATTCCCGTCTAACGTCAAAATTCCAAATTCGGACTCGAACATGGTCAAAATCGGATAACAAAAGCGATCATGAAAATACGTACTACAATTCAAGGACGTGAATGCGCATCAAGAAACGTGCACAAAAACTCGCTAGAAAAGATACGCACATGAGTAAAAGTTCAAAAGCATGCACAAAAGTACTCACGCAAAAGTGCGTTCGCAAAAAGGATCATGAAAACACAAACTACAATCCTAGGACATTAATACAAATCAACAAACATGCACAAACACGCTCCCTCAAATGGACATGCACAAAAACGTACATGTAAAAAAACATGCGCAAAAGTGCATCCGCAGCAACATTCTTAAAAACACGAACTACAATACTATGACTTTAATACGCATCAACAGACAACAGCAAAAACACTAGATAAAAAAGATACAATCGAGTGTAGCAATAATACTCGACGTTTACGTTTTCGTGGCTTTTTGTTTGGATTAATTTATATTTCTGTTTTAATTGGTGGATTTGGTATCTTTTAGGTACAAATCGAAAATTAGGTGTCCATGAAGCAAGAATAATCAAAGGGTAAGAAAAGAGTTGCAATTAAGAAAATAAAATCAAATTAGAAGAGAGAATCCCTCAACATCTTTGGTAGTGTCCACGAAGTCGAGCATAACTCTCTCATCCGGACTCCAAATCGACTGGTTCAGGTGGCATTAGAAAGCTATTTCAGTGGGCTACAATTCCCGTCTAACGTCAAAATTCCAAATTCGGACTCGAACATGGTCAAAATTGGATAACAAAACCGATCATGAAAATATGTACTGCAATTCAAGGACGTGAATGCGCATCAAGAAACGTGCAAAAAAACACTCGCTAGAAAAGATACGCACATGAGCAAAAGTTCAAAAGCATGCACAAAAGTACTCACGCAAAAGTGCATTCGCAAAAAGGATCATGAGAACACAAACTACAATCGTAGGACATTAATACAAATCAACAAACATGCACAAACACGCTCCCTCAAATGGACATGCACAAAAACGTACATGTAAAAAAACATGCGCAAAAGTGCATCCGCAACAACATTCTTAAAAACACGAACTACAATACTATGACTTTAATACGCATCAACAGACAACAGCAAAAACACTAGATAAAAAAGATACAATCGAGTGTAGCAATAATACTCGACCTTTACGTTTTCGTGGCTTTTAGTTTGGATTAATTTATATTTCTGTTTTTATTGGTGGATTTGGTATCTTTTAGGTACAAATCGAAAATTAGGTGTCCATGAAGCACAAATAATCAAAGGGTAAGAAAAGAGTTGCAATTAAGAAAATAAAATCAAATTAGAAGGGTGAATCCCTCAACATCTTTGGTAGTGTCCACGAAGTCGAGCATAACTCTCTCATCCGGACTCCAAATCGACTGGTTCCGGTGGCAATAGAAAGCTATTTCAGTGGGCTACAATTCCCGTCTAACGTCAAAATTCCAAATTCGGACTCGAACATGGTCAAAATTGGATAACAAAAGCGATCATGAAAATACGTACTACAATTCAAGGACGTGAATGCGCAACAAGAAACGTGCACAAAAACACTCTCTAGAAAAGATACGCACATGAGTAAAAGTTCAAAAGCATGCACAAAAGTACTCACGCAAAAGTGCATTCGCAAAAAGGATCATGAAAACACAAACTACAACCCTAGGACATTAATACAAATCAACAAACATGCACAAACACGCTCCCTCAAATGGACATGCACAAAAACGTACATGTAAAAAAACATGCGCAAAAGTGCATCCGCAACAACATTCTTAAAAACACGAACTACAATACTATGACTTTAATACGCAGCAACAGACAACAACAAAAACACTAGATAAAAAAGATACAATCGAGTGTAGCAATAATACTCGACCTTTACGTTTTCGTGGCTTTTTGTTTGGATTAATTTATATTTCTGTTTTTATTGGTGGATTTGGTATCTTTTAGGTACAAATCGAAAATTAGGTGTCCATGAAGCAAAAATAATCAAAGGGTAAGAAAAAAGTTGCAATTAAGAAAATAAAATCAAATTAGAAGAGAGAATCCCTCAACATCTTTGGTAGTGTCCACGAAGTCGAGCATAACTCTCTCATCCGGACTCCAAATCAACTGGTTCCGGTGGCATTAGAAAGCTATTTCAGTGGGCTACGATTCCCGTATTACGTCAAAATTCCAAATTCGGACTCGAACATGGTCGAAATTGGATAACAAAAGCGATCATGATAATACGTACTACAATTCAAGGACGTGAATGCGCATCAAGAAACGTGCACAAAAACACTCGCTAGAAAAGATACGCACATGAGTAAAAGTTCAAAAGCATGCACAAAAGTACTCACGCAAAAGTGCATTCGCAAAAAGGATCATGAAAACACAAACTACAACCCTAGGACATTAATACAAATCTACAAACATGCACAAACACGCTCCCTCAAATGGACATGCACAAAAACGTACATGTAAAAAAACATGCGCAAAAGTGCATCCGCAACAACATTCTTTAAAACACGAACTACAATACTTAGACTTTAATACGCATCAACAGACAACAGCAAAAACACTAGATAAAGTATATATAATGGAGTGTAGCAATAATACTCGACGTTTACGTTTACGTGGATTTTTGTTTGGATTAATTTATATTTCTGTTCTTATAGGTGGATTTGGTATCTTTTAGGTACAAATCGAAAATTAGGTGTCCATGAAGCAAAAATGATCAAAGGGTAAGAAAACAGTTGCAACTAAGAAAATAAAATCAAATTAGAAGGGTGAATCCCTCAACATCTTTGGTAGTGTCCACGAAGTCAAGCATAACTCTCTCATCCGGACTCCAAATCGACTGGTTCCGGTGGCATTAGAAAGCTATTTTAGTGGGCTACAATTCCCGTCTAACGTCAAAATTCTAAATTCGGACTCGAACATGCACTACTAGAATACATATTTTTTATAGCATATTATAATAGCGTGTTTTAACTAGGTGCTATTGTTTTGTTTAAAAAATTATCGGCAATCCTATTAACAAAATAAAACGCTATAATATAATAACGTGTTAAAACTTTTAGGGGGCAAAAATATGTATTCTCCCGCAATCCTAAAAAGAATAGGTTTTAAAACATTAAATAAAAAGTTTTAATTTGACTTTTCACTTACCCATCGTTCTCTTCATCCCGTCATCTCCTCTACAGCTTTTTTTTTAACCCAATTTTACCATTCAACAAACCTAATTCTAAATTGTCACCGAACTTGTAAAATCAATTCACCAAGCAAAAAATTCTTCAAGAGGATACGCTATCAGAGAAAAACGAGACCGTGCTGCGATTGTATCTCACCGATAGGGGACGAATATCATACAAGTAATTATACGGTTCTCTCTTCTATTTTTGTATTTCTATTTCAATTCCTCAAAATCAGGCTACCCATGCTTCAATTTCTATGGATTTTTGTTTATATAGCTATGATTCTTGCATTATGCCCAGATTTGGGAAATATCGTTGGATTTTTTTGTAAGTTTTTGATTCGTTCGCCCATGCTTAGGAAAGGGGCAGACTTTAAATGATTTGAATTGTGTTTTTAAATTTCTTGTGATTCATGCATGAATTTGGTGTTTTGAGAATTAAGTAGTTTTATTTCAATTCTTCAAAATCAGGCTACACATACTT